GTGTGTTTAAAGTGTGTTTACTGTTTAAAGTGTGTTTAATGTGTGTTTACTGTTTAAAGTGTGTTTAATGTGTGTTTAAAGTGTGTTTACTGTTTAAAGTGTGTTTAATGTGTGTTTAAAGTGTGTTTAATGTGTGTTTACTATTTAAAGTGTGTTTAATGTGTGTTTACTGTTTAAAGTGTGTTTAAAGTGTGTTTAATGTGTGTTTAAAGTGTGTTTACTGTTTAAAGTGTGTTTAATGTGTGTTTACTGTTTAAAGTGTGTTTAAAGTGTGTTTAATGTGTGTTTACTGTTTAAAGTGTGTTTAATGTGTGTTTACTGTGTTTAAAGTGTGTTTAATGTGTGTTTACTGTTTAAAGTGTGTTTAGTGTGTGTTTAAAGTGTTTAAAGTGTTTAAAGTAAACTTAAATAATGTTTAAGTATAACAGCAAAATCTCATCAGAAATAAGTTCTTAAAGTGTTCAAGACGTACATGTAATGTATATGTTGAAGTGTACTGACAGGTGTGTGTGTGTGTGTGTGTGTGTGTGTTACCTGGTGCAGGGCTGCAGTGGACCGAGTGTTGAAGTTTGGGTTCATCTTCAAACTCCAGCAGGAAATCCTCCCAGTCCTGATCTACTGCAGACACACAGCCAGGAGAGCCTCAGTTTTACTAAGACTTTTATTTTGAAATACCATGTTTATATTATATGAGAAGCGGTTATGTTGCAGTTTTAGTTTTGGTGTCACCTTGGCTGGAGAGGACGGAGGTTTCTCTGCCAGCTGAGTCTGCTGCCTCCTCTTTCTCCCAGGATGAACCTCCACCTCCTCCTCTTCTCTCACAGGAGACGAAGGCACAGCACTGGAAGGCGTAGGGCAGCTCCATCACCCTGAACACACACACACACGCACACACACACAAACAAACAAACAAACAAACAAACCCTTCTAATTATTTACAGTGGTGGAGGAAGAACTGTAACTTGGGTAAAAGTTAAATCCGGTTGAATCATAGCAGCCATGTTTGGATAGCTGCTGTGATTCAACAACAGGAGATGGAGGGTGTATTCTGGATTGTGATTGGCTGGAGGAAGGTATTTGGTTGGCCTCTGTAAACTAATCAGAGTGTCAGTGATGTCATCCACCCTTGCGGCAGCCATTGTTGGAGGTCTGGCGTCGCCAGCAGGCAGCGTTTTGTTTTCATGTCTCAGTGGTGGTCAGTGATTCGTAGGTTAACTGGAGTGTGTCCTAATAAACCAATGCTTTCATCTGTTTATGTGTGTGTGTGTGTGTGTGTGTGTGTGTGTCTGTGTGTGTGTGTGTGTCCACCTGACTCGGGGCAGCTCCTCTCGTGGTATTAGCTCCATCAGCTGTGTGTTTCCAGCCAATCGCAGGTGAGTTAAACTCTGCAGACCAGTCAGAGGCAGAGACAACAGCTGATTGGACGACAGGTCGCTGCAGAGAGACACAGACAGGAGGACATATATGACATTAAGTACATGTTTTCTACCTGATGTCTAACTCCAGGATGTTTCCATGTTTCCACCAGGCTCCAAGTAAGTGTGCCGGGCTTTGAAGACAATTTTCATAGCGGCCAAACTGCGGTACTGCAACTTCTGGGGTCTGTCAATTGACTTACATTGACAAAGAGCCACCAGTGCTGTATCCAGTGCTCCTAATACATCCATGTTTCCACAGTATTGAACAGTAATGGAAAGTAACTAAGTACTCAAGTACAGTTTTGATGTACTTCACTTGAGAATGTCCATTTCATGCTACTCTATACATGTCTTCCACTACATCTCGGAGGCAAATATTGTCCTTCCTAACTCACTATATTTATTTGACACCTCTAGTTACTACTGTAAACTAGTTAAAGGGATAGTGCACCCAAAAATGTAAATTCAGCCATTATCTACTCACCCATATGCCGAGGGAGGCTCAGGTGAAGTTTTAGAGTCCTCACATCACTTGCAGAGATCCAAGGGGAGAGGAGGTAGCAACACAACTCCACCTAATGGAGGCTGACGGCGCCCCAGATTCAAACGTCCAAAAACGCATTATTGAAACCACAAAATATCTCCATACTGCTCGTCCATAGTGATCCAAGTGTCCTGAAGCCCCGACATAAAAAGTTAACAGTCAGAGCTACAGGCTACAATGAGGCTAAAAACAGAGTTCAAATGAGGTTTTTCCAAACAACTTTTTATGTCGGGGCTTCAGGACACTTGGATCACTATGGACGAGCAGTATGGAGATATTTTGTGGTTTCAATTATGTGTTTTTGGACGTTTGAATCTGGGGCGCCGTCAGCCTCCATTAGGTGGAGTTGTGTTGCTACCTCCTCTTCCCTTGGATCTCTGCAAGTGTTGTGAGGACTCTAAAACTTCACCTGAGCCTCCCTCGGCATATGGGTTAGTAGATAATGGCTGAATTTTTGGGTGCACTATCCCTTTAAGCCAGGCAGGGGAAAGCCAGATTCTCCGAAAATGAGCAGCCGTCATTATTTTGGTCTTAGCCACTCTATTTCATCATAAACAACCAGAAATGGGGCTCAAAGTGCAAAATACCAGACTTCAGTGAAGATAACGTTGTTACAAAAAGGCTCAGAAGTCAACAACACGCTCACTGACAGATTCAGCGTCTTTGTGTTTTTCAGTGAGCTTCACCAGAGAATATTCAGTTGGCGCTCATTGTTCTCTATGAAATTTAGTGCATGTGATGTAATGTAGCCCTGGTGTGTTTTATATGGTGTGAGCCTTACGCCTGACCCTATTTAAAAAGTAGCCTTGTAAAGATCTGGTGTGTCGGATTTATGATGGTGAGGCTGTAGATTGAAACCAACTGAAATTTGTCCTGAATGGCTCTATCTAAAGCAGGTGTTTGGTTTGTCCATCCTGGGCTCCAACATGGTGGAGACCATGGAAGAGGACCCGCTCCATATGCAGGTATAAACAGGTAACGAAAACACTATGATTCTTAGTTTCAGGGGATTCATGTGATGCCCCTCCCTCTGTCTCGGAGGATGTTGTGGTCAACCTCATCAGGCAGTTGGCTGACATGGGACAGCGTTGCCTTGATGAAGCTCACCTGGGCCTTCCAGCCTGAAAAAGCTGCCTCATGTTTTCACTACAGCAGACGTCCACCCTGTACTGTTGCACTCATGCACGGCTTTCATTACTGACCGTGCTGAGCGACACACTCCGTTGGTTACTTAAGTCATTCTTAGTTTGATAAATCCTGGTTGTTCTTCCCAAATCGTTTGTGTGACCTCCTACTTGTCACATTCACTGACCCAGCTTGAGACATTAAACAATATTATATCACATATCTGCCAATAAATCCTTTAAACCCGACACACTGAACCTTTAAACGCAACATTACTCGTCAGCAGTCGAGGCAGTCTGACCTTGTGTGCTTTTATTAATTTGGTGTGCAGTTAACACACCAGTCCTAATTTGATTTTAATGAAATCTCAGCTGGCTCCTGGTGTCGTTCACCACTGTTCTGGAAGAAGAAATAAGTGCAGCGACAGGCGAACCTGCTTTATAAGTGCAGTGTTTTCTTTTTAAATAAGTGTGCAGTGGATCTAATTGATGCCGACATGATGAGCGGTTCATGTGGAGTCTGAGTGAGTGACTGATAAATATCTGGAGAAGTTGGCAAACTGGTGAATATTTAAAGGAACATTAAATTGTTAAATTTGCAAATGGAGTTTGGTGAAACACTTAAATCCCTGATTTTTTTTTCCCTGCTCTGAGATTCAATCAACGAACTGATGGAAACCCAAACCAGATTTTTTTTTAATGTGTAATAATACATTTTATTTGTTTGTTTGTTTCTCCAAACTAATTCAGCAGATCTGAGGTCAAAACCACAGCAGCTCGTTTCACGTGTTAGTGCTCAGCGCTTGTTTCGTAACACAGTAAAGACACTTTGGTGATGAGGTGGTTGTCACGGTTACGTAGTTTGGTTACTCACAGTTTGATGAGAACAGGCAGAGCAGAGAAAGAGTTCGGCTTCACTGAAGTCAGCCGGTTCCACGATAAGTCGCTACAGAGAGAAGAAGAAAAAGAAGAAGAAGAAGAAGAAGAAGAAGAGAGGATGTTAAACCAGAAACCTTTCAGTCACAAATCAACTGCCGCCCAATTTGAGTGTATTTAATCTCCCAGTAACCTCTGGGTGCTGACCTGATACTGTGCAGGCATGTTAGCACGGATTAACCACGGGGTTCACTTTAACAGCCACTCTTTGTTTGTGATCCCAGTTTAAAAGAACGCGTGTGTTTAATACTCTTATTTCTATAATCTGACAATAACATAAGTCATAATGTTCAGAAAGGCGTGACACAGAGCGGTGGAAGGACAACACTGCTGAAATGTACTTGTTTAAAAATAAAAAGTACATTGGTGGTGGTGAAATGTTGCTGTGTACATTTACCCAAGTACTTTACTGAAGAACAACTCTGAGGTAGTCGTACTTGAGTATTTCCATTTTACTGTATCCTTCTACTTCACTACATTTTGTCACTCAGTATTGTACCTTTTACTATACAATATTTATTTGACAATTTTATACATTACATGCTCCTCGCAGATTCAGATTATTAAAGGGATACCTCGCTGATTTTCAACCAGCTTTGTATCATAACAACGTGGCTGGTGTGTGTAAATAAACCGTGGTAAAGTTCCCTCCATGTTGACAGCACCCAGGGGCCGTATCTTACAAAGCTTCCTGGTACAAATAGTTGCTCCTAGTGACGAAACTCAAAAAAAAAAAAAAAAAAAAATAGAAAAAATAGAATTCCCCTTAAAGTTCAGACTAGGTCCTTGTTAAGATAAAAGTTGTTCACAGAGCATCTCAGATGAAAAAAATAGGTTTAAGAGGAGAAAATGGTGGAAACACAAAGAGGTCAGAGAAACATTCTCTTAACTTTAGATCATCGACACCTTACAGGCTCACAAAGGGACAACCAATCACATCTGTTAAAAAATGGATCATATGTAGTAATGGCAGAGATGGGGGACTCGAGTCACATGACTTATATGATGACTTGAGACTTGCTTGACTAACAGTGTGTTCACACCGGGCGCGAGTAAAATATTCGCCTCACTCTACTCGCGCGAGTTTGACCGCTGGAATATTTGTTTTTACTCGGGACATTCACGCGAGTCATTCACGCGAGTGATAGACAAGTATGCCGGCCGGAAAGCAAGCTACATCGGTTGTGCTAACTGAGGCTAATGCTAGCGCTAACTTTGTTGATAGAAACGTACAGCCGATAGTTGGAATCAATTTTCAAAACTTACCAGGCAGACCGACCTCCTCACTCACTTTCCTGCATGCCAGGTCTTTCTTGGTCCAAAGCTTATAATTTGGGGACGTAACGTCATAAAGCTCAGGGTGGCCACAAACAGCTATTATTAGCTTGTCCTCCATTTTCGGAACAATGCGGGGCAGGGGTGGGCGGGACAGCAGCACGTCAGTGACGTCGGTGACGACAGGAAAATCTCAACGCTGATAGGCTGTCCCGACACTGCATCAAGCAAATATTTCGCTCGAGTTCAATATTTTGAACTTGCACCAAGAGGCGAATGACGCGAATTTCGCGTTGTGTCATTCGAGCCGCCGGCACAAATCCACGTCTATTCGCGTCTTTACATTTACTTTGTATGTAATCTTACTGCGCGAAAAATTTGCCTCGCACCCGGTGTGAACACACTATAACGTTGATAAAAGACTCGACTTGACTTTGACTTTGTATTCATGACTTGGGACTTGACTTGGACTTGAGACAGATGACTTGAAAGGACTTGGCTTTAATTCAGTATTAAAGGCACGCTAAGCACCGTTGGGCGTCACTTCTGTTTACGTTCAACAATGTTTTCAAACACAACGGAGCTAGCTGGGCTGCCTACAGACTTTTTCACAGCATATTCAGAGGACACGTAGCTAGCGGATCGTGAGGAGATGTTTGCTGTATGTGACATATGACTTGCTTGACCTGAGCAATGACTCGACTTGACTTGCTTGATTCTCACCCCAACTTACTCGTGACTTGCACATGTGTGACTTTCCCCAATGTCTGAGTAACAGTGTTGACCACAGCTCCTCACTAAGGTAAAAGTTTCTGTCCCTTCCTCGCTCTGAGTTGCTCGGAGAACTTTCCTACTTTCCTTGGACTGTTGCTCCACCGTATCACCCGCCACCACGGATACAAAGAGTCCAGAAGCAGATCAAGAATAAGAAACGCCCCCCCTTTCTCTCTCAAACTCAGATCAAACAGATTGAATGGTGAAACTCAGCAGTGCTGATCAAATATAAACAAGGATTATGTTATTGTGTAACCTGTTTCAGGTCTCAAATATTTTGTTTTGAGCACCCACTGGCAGAAATATAAATCGTCGCCCAAGGCTGAAACTCGCGTAAGTTTCCTCTAACGCTAGCCGTCTTGATGAGCACTGTTCTCTCACCAGTCCACCTAGCGCTAGTCTCCCACAGCTGGAGCTACTTCCACACTTGATTTTAGTGCTTTGTCAGCGCTGGAGAAACCGAGCAGGGAGCGAGGCCAGATCCAGAATTACTCAGTGAGGGACAAAGAGCAGATCTGCTCCCAGCCTCTGTTCAGGAGGCTGTTTTTACATTTTATGCTGAAAACCATGTTAAATAAAATATGAATGATAGCAGAGTATTTTAAAGACTCTAAAATGTGTAGGAGGGGAAATGAAGGTAACAGATCTGAGTACTTGTTGCTCCAGTGTTTCAGCACGTAGTCGTAGTATTTCTGTGCAGATTCCTGACTCTGAGCCAAACTATGGCATCATACCTGTCGACCACCTGGACCTGTGTGTGTCTCCATGTGGAAGTGTTTAAGGAGGGCATCTTCGGATCGCTGCTCAGGATCTCCAGCCTAATTAAACTCTGTGTGTGTGTGTGTGTGTGTGTGTGCTCTTACAGCGAGCGTAGTGACATCAGACCGTGGAAGGTGTTCTCCTCCAGTTCCTCGATCTCGTTATGGTGCAGATCACTGCAACAAACACACACACACACACACACACACACACACACACACACATATTAGCTCTGATATTTCCATTACATCACGTTTATCAATCTGTTTTACGGCGCACAGAGTTTTTTTTCCGGAGCGATCTGATTGGTCAAACATGGACTACAACAGTGCTAATTATTCCCACAATGCACAGCTGGCTGTACTTTGTTGGTTGCTATGGTAACTGTTAAGAACACTACAGTGACTTTAGAGCAGATAAGTTAGGTGTGTGTGTGTATAAGACGTTACAGGTCTGAAAATCAGGCACCTGAACCTGTCGGTGAGATCGTATCTGTGGTGACGAAAGAGTTAAACAAAAATAAAAATTAAAAATTAAACTCACATCTTCTGGACGCTCTCACAGCCAGAGAAGCTGGGAAGAGTCTGGATCTGATTATAGGAGAGGTCACTGCAGAGAGAGAAAGTTTCAGTTGTCATCAGTCCAAGTGACAGTGAAGGCATCACGGTGCAGCATGTCAACAGGAGCTCACATCACATCAGGAGTAATGTTAAACATATATCAAGCGTCTGATGTGTTTCTGCTGAGCAGCATGTGTCCGTCTGTCAGTCCAGTAATTTAATCCTGAAATATCTCAACAACTTCTGGATGCAGTGACATGAACATCTGGTGAAAATGTTCATGATCCCCAGAGGATGGGTCCTATTGACTTTGGTGATCCTCTGACTTTTTCTACTTTTTCTAAAGTTTTTACTTGTCTAACTTTTTTACACCCTGTCATGGTCCCCAGAAAACTGACTTTTCCTCTTTCCTCTGATGAGGCCGATATTTGTGGTCTGACTGAAAAAAATCAACAACATTTGAAAGGATTGTGATGGAATGTGGTTCAGATCCCACAGAGGATGAATCCTACTGACTATGGTGATCCTCTGGATTTTCATCTAGCTCCACCAACAGGTTTTCAAATATCCAATAAAATATCTCATCATCTATTTGATGTATCCACACAAAAGAATTAAACAACATTCATGTTCCCCAGAGGATGAGTCCTACTGATCTAGCTGATTCCCTGACTGTCCCTGTAACGTCGACATGAGGTTGGTATTTGTGGTTTTGAATGAAATATCTCAGCAACTATCAGATGGATTGCCATGAAATGTTGTACACACATTCATGTTCCTCAGAGGATGAATCCTATTATTGATCCTCTGACTTTTTATCTGGTGTCATTATCAGGTTAAAGTTTTTACTTCTCATGTTTCCTGCTGTCATTTTCTCAAGCACCAAATGAGGTTATTTGTAGTTTTGACTGAAATATCTCAACTACTGGATGGATTGACATTTTGTTTTATATAGACATTCATGTTCCCCAGAGGATGTGTTCTACTAAAGTTGTGTTCACACCAGGCATGAATAAATAATTTGCGCAGCTTGATGGACGCGATGCGAATGACATGAAATGCACAAGTTATGCTGTGTGAATGAAGCAAGTAGCACAATTCTGCTTTAAATGCTTATTCGCAAGAGTTGAAAAATCTGAACTACAATTCGAGCCGCAATGGCCTTTCAGCACTGAGATCCTCCGGGGACGTAAGACACTGAGGACGTACCGACAGAAGGTCATTCATCGACTCAGCAAATTCACGCACAAATGCACAAAATATTCTTGTGTTCAAACTCGCACGGGTAACGCAACGCAAAAATTTGCATCGCATTTGGTGTGAACACAACGTAACATCTGGACTTTTCATCTGGCGCCATCATCAGGTCAACATTTTAATGTGTCCAATACTTTGTTTTCTGACCAAACACCTGCAGAACTAATGACGTTCATGTCAGACTCAGCTAGACTGTTTGTCCTGAGGTGACCATGAACACTGACCAGGTGTCTCACCTGGCCAATGACAGCTCAGGAAACGTCAGAACAAATGGTTAATTTCTCACGTGGAAACATCTCAAAACTTTATTTGGTGACTTGATAACAGCAACAAAAATGATAAGAGCTGTGGTTTTGACTGTTGTCCGTCACTGCTGCTGGTTACATGCTGAGATATTTATGTGTGTTGCAGAGAAAACAACTGGACCGCTGTTTGGAGAGTTTCCTTATCTTTACTGTTCAGAGTGAGTCAATAGATGAAATGCAGTTTATATCCGAACTCACAGCAGCTGTAGGTTTGGAAGCTGTTCACACACTGAGCTGGGCAGAGAGGTGATCCGAGCTCCTGTGATGGTCCTGCACACACACACACAAAATACACATATTAGGCATGTGAATCTATATCAGAGGTCGTGATCAGGACGGAGGCGAGGGGCACTGAAACCTTGATCCTGCTGCACTATAAACATCCAACACGGAACATTATGGTGTGTTCAGGTGCATCAAAAGGTGTAAGAGGTTGTGCTATGGTGCGTTCAGCAATACTGATGATGTATACTGGTATGTTCAGATAAACTGTGGTGTGTTCAGGTACACCATGTAAGTACTATGATGCATTCGAGAACATTTAAAAGGCATTGTGATGTGTTCAGAAACAATACATGTGTATTAGGTCATACTGTGGTGCATTCAGGAATTTTTAAAAAGCACTGTGGTGTGTTCAGGAACATCAAACGTGTTTGGTTACACTATGGTGCATTCAGGAACATACCAAAGACATTATAATGCTTTCAACAACTTTTGTGATGTGATTATGATGTGTTCAGGTGCATCAGAGGTGTATCACATAGCACTGTGATGCATTCAGGAACATTACGGTGTGTTCGGGTGCATCACAATTGTACAATGTTGTACTTCAGGTACACTGAAGGTGTATATAAGATGGCACCATGGTGTGTTCAGGTACATTTACAGTGCATTATTGTGCACATTCAAGTGTCCCAAAAGTGTGTCAGTTGTACTATGGTGTGTTCATGGATACTGGGAATGTATACAGATGTGATCAGGTATTTTTGCTTTGTTCAGGAGCATTTAAGAAGCAAGGTGGTGCGTTCAGGAACATCAAAGTTGTATTATGATGTGTTTAGTTGATTAATAGTGTAGATTGTATCACGGCGTGTTCAGTAACCCTAAAAATGTACGATGATGTGTTCAGGTGACTTCTGGTGTGTTGAGGTAAATCTACAAAGTATCATGGTGCATTCAAGTGCATCAAAATTGAATTACATTGAACTACGGTGTGTTCAGGAGCATTTAAAGAGCATCAAATGTAGTATGGTGTGTTAAGGTGATTTTAAGGAGCATTGTGATGCCTTCAGGTGCATTTAAGGTACATAAAAGTGGACTGTAGGCCACACCTACAGTAACCAGATTATATTACATTAAACAAACTTGACTAAATATAAAATACAGTAAGAGACAAAACCTTGTGCATGTTTTTTTATACAGGTCTAAAAATATCTTTAATTCCAAAAGGTATACGGGGCAGTTATGCTACAGTTCAGACAAATTTGACTCCATGCTCCATGAAACAGCGTGGTGAGGTGTTCAGTAACACCAGGAGGGATCATTTAAAAGCCGAGAGCTGGAGAATGTGTTACGGTTTGTTTAGTCTGAGTTTTTATTTCCACCTTCTGGTTTAGTGTGAGGTTACTGTTAAATACACGCTGCTTTCAGAAACCAACAGGGACGGCGTTTAAATGGAAAAACGGGAAAATAAACACTGTGATGTGTTTATTATGACGAGCAAATCTGGGTCACAACAAGGAGAAGGTTACAGTGTGTCACATGGAATAATAACTGCAGAGTATTAATAACTGATCCGAGGTTCAGCTTTCAAAACACACACTGATGTCGGCTACAACAGCAAACACACTCAGATATGAAACATTCCTCGGTGTGTGTGGGTGAGTGTGTTTGTTTGTGTCTTACAGGCTCTCCAGGCTCTTGGTTCCCGTCAGATCTGGAAACTCGGTGAGATCGGCTGCTCCGTTCAGAGAGCTGAGAGATACAGAAATTCATTCAGTCAATGTGTGTAGTTGTTTTTGTGTGTCTGAGTTACGGAGGCAGCAGCTGGTCACTGAATCAGCACGTTGACTGAACTCTGGTTTCACTTCGGTATCTATGTAATAAATTTAAGTGTTTTTTTATTCCTCACAGTGTTCGCAGCTCCGGGAGGTTCTGAAACGCAGATCGTCCAACAGACTGGATCGGGTTGTCGTAGAAGAATCTAGAAAACACAGACAGACAAACACCTTCATCGTCTCACTCTGCGTGTGGAGACAATGACAACTGACTCACGAGGTGTTGTTTCTTATCTGATTTTGTGTCCAAACGTCAGGTTTAATTCATAAATCCACTCCTAATTTACTAAATATGATCTCTCCCTCAGCCCAACACTAAATATGAAGGCAAGTTTACTTTGGCACCTTTTACCAACAACGCAGCTCACACTGTTTTAGACATAAACTAGAATCATTGCCCCGTGGCTGTATGACTCCGCCCACCAGTCCACCCTGTGGTTGTATGACTCCGCCCACCAGTCCACCCTGTGGTTGTATGACTCCGCCCACCAGTCCAGTGTCTCTGACAGTCTCCATCCATGTCAGTGAAAACATGGATGCTTCACACACAGAAGATCTATACAATCAGCACAGTTTCAAGATTAGAGTCACCAATTCAGTATCTGACCAAATGTCTCCCCTTCTGTTCCTGAGATATGACGTTAAAACATGATGATGTCACAGTCAAGCTGACCTTTGACCTTTTGACCTTCATTATTTTATCCTGTTAGACATTTGTGTCAAGTTTGGTCAGAATTAGTGAATGAATTCTTCAGTTATGGACAAAAACATGTTTTGTGAGGTCACAGTAATCTTGACCTTTGACCACCAAATTCTAATTTCTTCTTTATTCTTCAGTCCACGTGGATGTTTGTGCCAAATTTGAAGAAATTTCTTCAAGGTGTTCTTGAGATATCACATTCACAAGAATGACAAAGATGAGGTGACCTTGACCGCCAAAATCTAATCAGTTCATCGTTGAATCCAAGAAGATGTTTGTGCCAAATTTGAAGACATTCCCTCACGCTGTTCTTGAGATATTATGTTGATGAGAATGAGATGGATGCAAGATCACGCTGACCTTGACCTTAAACCCTTGACCACAAAAAACTGATCAGGTCATCGTTGAGTCAAAGTGGATATTTGTGCCAAATTTTAAGAAATTCTTGAGATATCGCGTTCACAAGCATGGGACAGACGTACATAAGGACAGGCAACCTGAAAACATAATGCCTCCACCACGGCTGTCACCCAGTGTTTTTCGAACACATCAGACTCTATTCAAACATAATTTAGGCTAGCTGGCACACGTGAAGGGAGAGATGGAACACAGAGAGAAAATGAAGAAGCTTACTTGTTGGTAAATATCGTGTACTGATGCATATCAGAACTACGTTAGGTCGACAGCTTCAGAAAATACATTTGCCGTCACATGGAAGGTTATCTACCGAAGACTACGGCAAGAATTTAATTACACACAACAAAATTTCATGACTTCTCCAAAACTTTCAATGATTTTTACTAATTCCATGACTTCTCCAGGCCTGGAAAATGTGATTCTGAAATTCCATGACTTCCAGGTTTTCCACAACACAGCTGAAAGCTCCTTAAAAATCTAGTAAGGTGGCCTTGAGTTGGGATTGAGATGAGTCGGTGGTACCTACATGGTGATCAGTGAGGGGTTCCCGGTGAAGGCGTGCTCCGGGATGGACTGGATGTTGTTGCTATGGAAACCACTACAGAAGAAACAGAAAAAAAATGAGTTTCCTTCTTTCCTTCCTTCCTTCCTTCCTACCTTACCGTTAAAGTAATCTAAGGATATAATACGTACCGTAACAGTAAAACACTCACACGTTCATTTTTCTATGTTCAGTACTTTTACTTTTGATACTTTAAGTACTTTTTCCTTACAGACTTTTACTGAAGTAATACTGTGTATGTGTTAAACTGTGGTGTGTTCAGGTACATCAAGGTGTAATCAGTAGTTCTATGGTGCATTCAGGAACACATAAGAGACAACAAGTGAAAGAAACGCTGATGTTTACTGAAGTTCTCGGTTCACACATACAAATAGTTCAGACTCACAGCTCCTTGAGGTGACTGAGCGAATGGATGGCCGTCGGAAACTCGACCAGACTGTTGTAGTTCAAATCTCTGAGAGGAGGAAAAAAAGAGAGGTTATAAATGACAGGGAGGTAACTTGGGAATAAAAGTTGGGAATGTGACATTGAAGACACAACATCAACAGTCAGTGAGAGCTCTCCGTATGTCACACATACACACAGACTGGGAATACCTGATCTGGACTGGGATTAGCGCTGCTACATCGGATATGTTACATCTAAATTGGGAATGTCAACCTTAAAATGGAATATTAGGCTGAACTTGTTAACTAGCTGCAAATCACAGGTGTCAGGTTGAACTGTGGAAATACAGGCAATACTGGGAATGGTGAATTCTAGACTGGAAATATGAACTCTTACTGGGATTGTCTTTGCTCTAGACTGGCAATACCAGATCTGTACATGGAATGGTCAACTTTGGACACTCTTTTATGATGAGAATACTACATCTAGACTGGTTATGCTGGTGAATACTGGGTTTATCAATTCCAAACTGGGGAACTCTCAATTTACAGCTCTAGATTAAGAATACTAGGTCAAATTTGGAATGTAAACTTTAATTTGGAATATCAAATGTACGTTATTTTGAGAATAAAAGCTCTGTCAGCTCTATACTGGATTTTGTTTGTTGTAGAATAGGGAATACCAGCTCTGAGCAGGATTATGTATGCCCTAGAGGGGGCATAAAATGGGAATACCAGCACTGTGCAGGGATTTTGTCTGTCGAATAGGAATACCAGCTCTATACTGGATTTTGTCCATGTTAGAAAGGGAATACAAGCTCTATGTAGGGATTCTGTCGGTGCTTGAATGGGAATAACAGCTCTATGCTGGATTTTGTCTGTTATAGAATGGGAATATCAGCTCTACATGTGGATTTTGTCTGTCCTTTATTGGGAATACCAGCTTTATGAAGGAATTTTGTCTGTCTTTGAATGGGAATACCAACTCTATCCTGGATTTTGTCTTTCCTAAAAAGGGAATACCAGCTAGACAGGGATTTTGTAAATCCTAAAATGGGAATATCAGCTCTACACTGGCAATAAAAATGCAGTCAAAGTTCCAGATTCATGCTGGAAACATTCAGCTCTGAACTGAAACTGTCAGCTTTTGAAAGGAAACATCAATCTACATATACTGGGAATGTCAGTTCTAGGCTGAAATGTCGGTTCTAGATTGGGAAAACTGTCTTAACTGGTAAGGCTTTAGTTCTAGGATGCGAATATTAGCTGATATTGGAAACTGTCACCTCTAGGCTTGGAATACCAGCTGTATGATGTAGGGAATGGTCAGCTCTAGACCAGGTAATGTCAGAGCTTTACTGGGAATACCATCTGTAGACCTATAATACAGCTATATATACTGGGAATATCAGAGCTCTAGATTGTAAAACAAGTCTAAACTGGTAATGTTTTAGCTCTAGGCTGCTAATACTACCTCCATAGTGGAAATTATCACATTAAGATTGAGAATATAGGGAATGGTCCATTCTAGACCAGGGATACCATCTCTAGGTCTATAATACAGCTATATATTGGGAATGTCAGCAGTATACTGGGAATGATAGCTCAGTATAAGCTCCATAATGGACAGACCAGCTATACAACGCTGTGGGAAAGTCAGCCTCAGACTGGGAAGTTGTTTAATGTAAATGTTTGTGTGTGTTTAAACGTTATGTTTAGCTTTTCCTTCTTTTAAGTTTATTAAAGAAACATTTAACTTTGCCTCGCTCTTTGCTTTCATCACCAGCAGAGACTAGAGCATTCTCAGAGTCTGCACATGGCTTCAATTAGGTCCTCTCATCCATCTCTGGGATGCAGGTGGCTATTACACACACACACACACACACACACACACACACACATACACACATACACACACACACACTGTGTGGAATGAAGCTGCCACATTGTGAAAATACCATTAAATTGAAATTGCTTCAGTCTGGTCCCGAGTGTGTGAGTACATGTGTGTGTCCAGAGGATGATTTGTAACAACAATAGCTGGTGCCAGACTATTATTGATGGAATTTGGAGGGCTGTGATTGGATGAGAGCTGGATAATAGGTTTCTGATTTAGCCCGTTTAAGGGCTCATGGGACATCCAGAGGTTTTTGGGAAATCTTAATTATTGTAATGTCGTTCTGTAAATTGCGCGTGCTGATTAGGTTCAATAGGTTATGTTAGTGGGTGGAGGAACATCAGGAGTCCTGCAGTCCTGAGAATCTCTCCCACAGACAACCTCAGGTGATACATCTAGACTGAGAAAATGAATCCTAACCTGAGAATGTTCAGCTTGAAACCGCTAAAACCAACTCTATACTGGGAATTCTCAGCTCTAGACTGGGACACCAACCCTAAACTGGAAACGTTATAGCTTGAAACTGCTAATACCAACTCTATACTGGGAATTGTGAATTCAAGTCTGGGAAAAACAACCATCAACCAGGAATGTTTAGCATGAAAGTGCTCATACTTAATCTATGTTGGGAATCCTCAAGCCTAGATTGGGAAAAACCAACAATTAACTGGACACATTTGGCTAGAAACAGCTCATACTTACTTTATACTGGTAACTGTCACCTCTAGACTGAAAAAACAACCTAAACTGGGAGCCCATAGCTCAAAACGTCTGTTACTAACTCTATACTGGGAAATGTCAGCTATAGCCTTGGAAAACCAACCCTTGACTGGAATTATTTAGCTTGAAACTGCTCATACGTATTTTATACTTGGAATTCTTAGTTTTAGACTGGGAAAACTAACTCTAAACTGGGGACATTTGGCTAGACACTACTAATGCTAACGCTATACTGGGAAATGTCAGCTACAGCCTGGGAAAACCAACCCTAGACTGGGAACGTTTTGCTAGAAGCTGCTTATACCTACTCTACACCAGGAATTGTCAGCTGTAGACTGGAAAAAACAACCATAGACTGGGAGTGTTTAGCTCAAAACATCTAATACTAACTCTATACTGGGAATTCTCAGGTCTAGACTGGGAAACCGACCCTAAATTGGGAACATTTTGTTGAAAACTTACTACTCTGTGCTGGGAGTTGTCAGCTACAGCCTCAGAAACCCAAACCTAGACTGGGAATGTTTTTGCTTGAAACTGCTAATGCCAAATTTATGCTGGGAATTCTCCACTCTAGACTGGGAAAACCAACCCTAGACTGGGAATGTTTTTGCTTGAAACTTCTAATACCAATTTTATACTGGGGATTCTCCACTCTAGACTGGGAAAACCAACCCTGATCTGGGAATGTCAGCTCTAGATTGGGAAAAACAAGTCTGAACTGGGAATGATTTAGCTCTTGGCTGCTAACGCTAACACTACACTGGAAATTGTCCAGACTGGGAATACTAGGAAAGAGCTGTGTACTGGATACAATTCCAAATTGTTAACATGTTGAACCTGATTGTGTTTTTGATCATTTTCCCTCAGGTGTGGGTGTGTCATCAGCTCAAGTTAGGTCGTAGTCAGTCGGCCAATGTGTGGAATTATTCCTTTAATGCTGTTTGAGGAACGTCTTGACTGACAGGTGTCTCAGGCTTTCCCACTCAGCTCCGGTGGTTTCTGGAGGCTCACGCTGGCCACAGACAGTTACAAGGTATTTTTATGGTTTCAACCTCAGAGGTCTCTGATGTTTTGAAAGCTGGATTTTGGGTTTTCTGCTCACCACCATTTTCGTCACTTACTGGAACCAGAGAATACGACTCTGGGCAACAAGAGGACGAGGTTTAGGTGAAGCTGAGGTGGATGTGAGCTGGGAAACCACCACAGCTGACCTGGACTCTGACGTTCCTCTATAAGCGGCGTGTGTTTTCCTTTAAGACAGAACCCAGCTTGTTGAATGAATTTATTTTTTTCTGTTTTCATTTCCGTTTTCTTCTCGTCTCTGTGTTTGTGTTTGTAGTTTCAGATGAACGTGAGTCTGGTGTGGTTTATTATTGCTGATCCTACAGGTACACACACAAACACACGCTGCCCGTCTGTGTGTGCGTGTGTGCGTGTATGAATAGTAATTATGATTAGCATAGAGCCAAGGCCACACACACAGCGCCACACACACACACACACACACACACACATACACACACACACAGAAGTATTTCCAAATGAAGGCAGTGTGTGTTTGTGTGTTTAAACCTGCTTCTCTGGTTGACTGAGAAAACAGAAACATTTCTATATACACACACACATTCCTCAGATTATACACACACACACCAACATAAACACACACAGGTTAATCTGCCCTGACTGCAGCTAATATCCAGAAATACTGACTTTAACAAAACACATCACATGCTAACAGCAGTGAGTATGTTAGATTTTGATCAGTGTAAATGTCCCTGCGATCTTACAGGGAGATATTGAGCCATTATTTTACATTGATGCAGTTTTGTAATCACCTATTGGTCAAAGTGACGGCTGTGACGGGAGAAGTCATGGAAGACTAAAGGAAAATCAAACATGCTAGACTTTCTGTTGGAACGTCGTGAGGCGTCCCAGACGTGGCGTTGGTTGTCGTCTACTATGACACACTACATGACACTTGTTAACTTCGTACGTACATATGATCGGACTGATATTGTATAGTCTAATGTGACAAAGAGACTGTGGTGTTAAATCTAGTCTTTTTAAGCAGTAGTGTCGGGTGCTCTGTCGCCAAGTTTAACAGTCCCGCGTTATCTGAGGAAAACCTTCAGTACATAAATACATCAATAAGTCTTTTAGTTTTTATTAGTTTGCTGAATTTTTTTCTTATAACATCCTATTCGACTGTTTAAACAACCCTAAACAAATCCCGGACGTGTCTCTGAGCTGCAGATGAAACTGATTTTGAGCCCTCACGAGAATAAAAACAAGATTTCCCCAAATTCTGGAGCGTTGTTTGAATAAATCCTGTCAAGAGTCCTCTCTAAATGTATAAATTAAATCTCTCTGTCATCTCCTAACCCTTCGTCCTGACCCCAACTCAACCCTGACTTCTCCGACCCCTCCCCATTACACACACACACACACACACACACACACACACAAACAGAGGAACTCACAGCGTCTCCAAACTGTGGAGTCCGTGGAAGCAGTTCGTTCCCATGGAAACGATCCTATTGTTGTTGAGATGCCTATGGAGAGAGAGAGACTGATGGACTAATGAAGCAGACAAAGAGTGTGTGTGTGTGTGTGTGTGTGTGTGT